AATTACCGCCAAGCGGCATCCTGAGACCCATCAAACAAGGTCTAAGCAGTAGCGCTGGGCATTCGTCCAGTGGCCTACAGCTGCCCAGATCTTCAGCTGGAAACCGGATGAGCTTCCCACCGGGACAATCCAACAAGACCAACGAGATGTTTCACGTATTCAGCTGGGCCGAAGCAAGACCGCCCAGCCCAATGGAAGGTCCCAACTTCATTGTCCTTCAGAAACAGCTGTCCGAAGTTGAGGAGTTCCTGACGGCCGAGACCAACGGGCCGGACCGGCGGGCGTATCTAGAGGCTGAGATGTCGACGAGAAATGAAGTGTTTGAGTACCTCGAGCAGCAGGGAGCGCGGATGCAGGATACCAAGAAATCGTGGAAGAAGCAGGACTACGAGGAGCGCGTAGACATTTTCAACGCGGCTGACTCTTTGTTCCGCTTCTTCTTGCCTCCATTGTTTGACGGACCGACGACAGAGAGGTTCTGGGGTGCTGTGATGAACCTAGTCAGAGTAAGTCTATTTGCTGGTCTTATGAGCCCCTACTAGATGCTAATAGCTCTTCAGATCCCTCAGCCCGAGGCCACCGAGGGTGAGTCTCATCCGAACAACCTCGACAAGACACGTCGCGAAGCCGTCTACGCAAACGCCCCAACGGTCAGAAAAGCACTGCGCCAAATGGCTCTCCCCGTCATCGCATTCAAGAGCATCCTGTCCCACGCCGAACCCACGGACCGGGTGGATATCGACGTTCCGCTGGAGTTGATCCGAGCCTGGCTTCATCTGGTCATGGGCCTGATCTACGCGAGTCACGAAACGCACATGTGGGAGGACCATCTGGAGGTGGCGGACACGCTGGTCAAGAACGGCATGAAGCACATGATGGAACGGCTGTCAAGTCTCAACCTGCTGGAACGGTCTTCCGTCCTCCCGCTCGAGGTGGTGTCCTTGATCAGCTACGGCCTCTTGTCCAATACTTCCGGAAAGTATGCGGGAATTTCAGACACTTATTCAGAGTATCTCAGATCATTGGTAAGTTTGAAGTGACTCGTGGTTTGTGGACTCTTTACTTTTGTATCATGCACTGACATTGCGGACAGGAAAACGAGATTGCAAACGGGCAGTCGGACATCTCGTACCAGCAACGGATCAACTTTTTGCGCCAGGAAGTAAGCGTGATTGACCGCACAATCGCTGCGCAAAACAGTGTCTTTAGCTCTATCCTAGCCTCTCGTCAAGAAGGTTCATCCGCAGCAGCGAAGCTTCAGCGTTCGGCTCGAACTCAGGTCGCCGCAGCCAACTACCACGAAGCAGCTTCCCTCAAGCCTCATTTGCGGATGGGCAGAAGCAGCGGCAGACATGGCGCCGGCGATGACGAAGACGTGCAGGTTCTGCTGGAGCCCATGGTCATGGCTGCTAGTGCAGAGGTGTCCGACTTTTACAAGCTTCCGTCCACGGACGCGGCCGGCTTCAGGGATCTCCTCGCGGCGGAGTGCACGCAGCTCCTAGAGCGGCGGAGCAGGGATTTTGAAGAGTATGCTGAACAGGCTGACGTTTTGGAACAGACGGTGAGTACCTTGGTGTTCGAGACCGCTTGTGACATGTTAGATTCTGGGATGGAGACGCTAACGGGTTGAACTAGAACCTCAATAATGCCGCGGTGACCAAGGACCGGCAAGAGCAGGCGATTTATGCCTTTACTATTGTCACCATTATCTTTTTGCCTCTGAGCGCCGTCTCGAGCGTCTTCGGGATGAACTCTAGCGACATCCGAGACATGGAGGCCGGGCAGTGGTTGTACTGGGCCACCGCGATACCCGTCACTATCCTGACGATTGTGCTTGGTCTGTGGTGGATGGGCGAGATGGGACACCTCGTCGACTGGGTGCTTAGAAAAGTGCGAGGCGACGACAGACTGGGCCCAAAGTTTCCTGCTTCGCTGTATGGTGGCGGAGACATGTCCGAGAAGCCTGGCTACCAGCAGCATGCCGGTATCGAAGTCATCAATGCTCCACGGGCCGTGTACAGTCGGCCAATGTCGGCCAAGCAGAGCTTCACGAGGCGGCTGGATAGACGACGAAGCCAACGGACGTGAGTTTGCGGGACGCATACCGCGGTACGCCTCTGGCGACAGTACGACACCATTACTTACCTTACACTACATGACGGCCCTTGTCTGGCAAGTGCAACTGCCTTGGATCGAAGCCAGGAAGCTCGGGGGCAGCCGAGCCGGAGCCAGGACCCCGGGTGCAAGGGTCTTCTTTGCGGAAGTGGCTGGGCCTAGAATTTTTTCTTGACTACCGACTGCTTCACGAATCACCAAACACACTCACCTAAGGCGCGTCAAAGATTGGGCTGCCAGTCTGCGCCGGCAGGACGGAGACGATCGATGGATTGGGGATGGGTGTTGGTTCATCGGCTTGGCATCGTGGGATGGGCGCCCAACGGAGATTTGAGGCCAGCTAGCCCTTCCGCTACTTGTCTACCGGCATACACGCATCGAAAGGTGCTTCTTTCTCCTGCAGAAGGGGAGTAGACAGAGGGAATATTGTCTCCTTTGCAGCCCAACGAACAGAGCCGGACACAGACGCTACGCTTGGGCGAGAAAAGGGAAAAAGAAGGTTGGGACGAGTAGGAAATGGAGCGGAGACGTGCGACTGCCAGCTCACCACCACACAGAACCCAATCTGACAAGCTCAGCCCTGCAAACCCCATGATCAGGGGTGGCCCCAGATGGCCCAGATATGGCCGAGATGGGGGGAGAGGAACTCAAAGGATGGAAGCGTTTTGGAAGATTCCCCGGTTGTGGTCTGGCATCCCCAGCCTGTTGGGTTCGGTGCGCAGGCTATTCGTATGGGCGATAGGGCCATGGAGAGACGACAGTTACGAACTTATGACAACAACCTTGGAATTTTTTGAATTTTCCGTCTGAAGGACAGGACCAGGTGCCGGACGCGGTCAAGCAGTGCAGAGCGCGCAGAGTGCAGATGCAGGGCGGCTACAGCGACTTGGGCGAATGAGTGGCCTGGAAGCTCTGCCCTTCTCTTTTGGTGATTGCTGGTGCGGCGCTTTACGATCAAGGAGGAGGCATGTCGCGCAGCTTAGCTCTTTGGAAGGTTTGGATAGAAAGCTCTCTGTTCTCTCTGTTCTGAGCATCTGAGTGGTTGGGAACTTGGGGCCGAGGCCGGGAAGGTGGACTGGACGTGCCGCGTGCCCAGTGACCCCGGTCAATGTACCGCAGTAGGTGCCTTACCTAGTGTACACTGTAGGTAAGGTACCTTAGGTACGCTGTGTACGCGAGTACGTACCGATGGTCGACCGCCTCGGAATTTTACAACTTGATTTTTCCATTTTTTGGCGTGACGTGCCCGCTGGCGTCATAAGGCCTCAATTGCCCAATGGCGCACCCTTGTCTGCCACACGATGGGAAGGAAGGTGCCAGGTGACAGCCGACCACCTCCCCTCCCGAGTGAGAGGACGGAGGGCGGGAGAACTTCCCATGGCAGGTACATCTGTGGTACGGTACGGAGTACTAAGGAACAGGAAAAAGGAGGGAGGGGAGCGGAAGAGGGAAGGAAGGGATGGGATGTTTTGGTTGGGTTGGGTTGAACTTGACACTGGCGTGAAAAGGTTGGAATTGTATGAGGCGGTCCATGATCCATCCATCTGGGGTTTTGGAATTGGAGTTGCTGCTGCACAGTACCTGTTAGATACCGTGGCTTTAGATACCGTTCACCCAATGATTGATTGTACTCTGTACCCATCTGCATGTCAAGCAAGACCCGTCCAGGCTGTGTTTTGCGTGCGCCTCTCTCTCACTTTCTCGAACCTCGAGTCTTTGAAAGTTTGGGGGCAATAGTTCTCCATCCTGGTGCATACTCACATCCACTCTTGCGCGCCCATACGTGCGTCCATCTGGCATCTCGGCGCTCCCGTCCCGGATCTGCTGTGGGCTTTTACGGAGTGCTGTAGTGTAATTCGTAGCTTCGTCGTCCATGTGCTTGTTAGGCGGGTTTGCTTCTCTGGCTTGGTTGTGGCTTGGTACGGATAGCTGAACCCGAGTGGACGGAGTTGAAGGGGACGATAGATGCAAGGCAGCCTGGCCTGCGTGGATGTCCCCTTCCCGCTGGGCAGTGGGCGAGATTGGCCTTGGGCTGACACACACACACCCAATTTGAGAAGCGTGAGAGGTGGTGCATGATAATACCGCAGCGCAACTCTCTCACAGGCCAATTTCTTGGTGTTTTCCCATTAGTTGGTTTGCGGAAGGAGGGGCAACTACCAGGCAGGTAGGCAGGTAGGTAGGCAGGCCCAGTCACCCCTCCCCCTCCTGCGGAAGCGACGAGGACCTTGATTCAACCTGCCATCTGCCAACTCCCCGTCCCCTTCCCTTCCCCTTCCTTCCCACCCCCGTGCATGCCTTCCTTGCAACCGAGCCAAAGAGCCTAGACTCTTCGTCGTTGGTGTCCCCTCGTTGGTGTGGGATGAGTGTTATATGAATAGCGCATCTCCCGCCCACCAACACTCCAGGCGAAAGGGTCCGGTCCTGTTCTTCTCACTCCCACCACAACCATCCATAACTACAACCCGCCGCCGCCGCTGGCTTACCGACATTTGACACTGCGACACCTTTACTTAGCTCCAACGCTTTCCTCTCTCCCACCCGTTCGTTCGCCACTGGCTCCCTTTTTGCACCTACCGACCTTGGGTAGAGTAAAAGGCCAGCCCACCCCGCGCCAGGTGATCAACATCTGATTTTCCCTCACCCGGTCTTTGCGCTCTGCACATCACTTTTGGTCGCAACAAAAACGGTCGTCTAGCGGATCGCATTCCCGCATATCGCATCTCGGACATCCCTCGGGTCGCGACACGCAAACACACGCAACACCTCGTCCCATCCTCGGGTTCACGACGCATCCTGCATCTACCCGCCCGTCCGCAACCTAAAACCAACCCTAAATAACCAAACTCCAACCAAATTCTCCTCTCGACATCGCGATAGTCGCACCGAAAAAAGTGTAGGCCACCGAAAAGGCGCACAGTCAAGAAACATCTATACGTTCAAAAATCCCCTTGGCACGAATCCAGCCGTCCAAAATGGGTACGAGTAAGCCCCAAAATACCTGACGTCAACCGTTGTCGCAACGTTCGCGCCAGGTCCACATAAGCACAAATAACTAACCATGCATCGTACAGCCTCGTCAAAGGAATACTACGAGTATCACCACCACCACCGCCACCACCATCACCACGGCGCAAAGAAGCGCCTCTATCTCGAACCCCCCACCAACGGCGCCGTCACCGTCCGCACCAAGAAGACTACCTTCATCCCGGCCCGCGAGCCTACCCCGCCTCCCATCATCGTCAAGCCCGCCCCGCCGCCGCCCGTGGTTGTCAAGCCTCCTCCGCCTCCCCCACCGCCCGTCGTTTTGCCCCTCCCGCCTCCCCCACCGCCGCCACCAGTCGTCGTTCCGGAGCCCCTGCCCCCTATCGAGGTCATCGCGGTCGATGTCGAGCCTTCGGTGAAGAGCAGCAAGTCGAGCAGGAGCAGCCGGTCAAGGAGCCACAGCCACTCGCGGAGAGGCAGCCGCGACAGGGAGAGAGATATCAGAGAGGTGTACGTTGAGCGGGAGAAGCTCGTGCCCGTCCGGGTGCCATACCCCGTCCCTGTCCCCGTTGAGCCGCGGTACGAGACCTTCCGGTATGTCGAGGGCCGGAGGTACTCGCCGCCCAGGATGCTGCCGCCGCCCCCGCCACCTGAAGAGGAGAGGATGAGGGTCACCATTTCCGACCGGAGGAGGGAGAGAGAGTACAACGACTACAGCTACAGGCGGTGAAGCCTTTGTCGTTGTGCTTTGACTCGGGCCTTGTTTTCAGGTGCAAGGTGTTTGGATTGAATGTTTGGAATATTCTTTTTTGGGAGGTTATTTGTTTGATTTGAGACATGTCTGGCGATGATTTAAGCGATTTTGATCTCGCGGCGTTACAGGTTTCTTGATACGATGAGACGGTGCGACGCCGCTGGGATGGAAACTTTCTGATATTTATGAGTTCATATTTGGGATTCAGTTTGGGACAGCGTTGACTAGCGAAAGCGGTGCTTGGATATATGTCATGATAGAGAGATACGTGTGATGATATTCTAAAATGACGGCCGCTTTTACAATTGCATATTCCAGTCCCGCCCTCCTGAGCAGTTCCTTTGATGCACTCGAACTGAGGTTATGGCGGTAGTTCAAGACTGGCCTTGTGTCTGTCTGTATGCTGCCAACTCGCTCATCCCCATGTGATGTGATGCGTAGCGTTCATAGCTCGCGCGGCGCTTGCTTCCATAAGTACCAACAGTGCAGGCGAGGCGTCTCTTCGTCATGTTTATCCTCCGTGGTTGAGACTGCTTGTGAGATATCAATTCGTGTGATCAAGACGATGCTTCGAGCCTGGCCTTGAATCAGACTGGAAGCTTCGGACTCGCTCTGAGAAGGGGGTATAAAGTTCATGGACTAGCTTGTACGGAGTGAGCTCCGTCTCAGTTTACTGGTCACCAACGGTTGGGCGAGGCGTCTATTCATCGTAGTGAGCTGTAGAAGGCCAGAGCTTACATCTAATGACAACCATCTCGCACAAAATCACGGCTAGAATATGATATGGGATGTAGGGCGGTGCCCGCCGGTTCCCCCATCCGTCCAGGGATCGCGTGAGATGGGACAGGTTTCTGCTTCCCATCTCAACAATGTAGTGTCCATGTTACAGAGACTGGTGCACATCATGTTGAAATCACTTTGAGAATCCATGCGGCGGAGAGGGTAAGGTGACCTTTCGTTCTCTACGGCGATGTAGGCATGCCGTGTCATCATCTCAATAACATACGTGTCACGAGGAATCTAGCCAACCAGGCCGAATCATCTAAGAACTGCGATAACTCACGAATGGGCAGAAGAGGGTTACGCGACCTGAACCCCTTCGTCCTCTCCTCAAACCTCTGGGTGAAAAATAGAACCCCGTGCTTTCTTTCCACCCTGCATCACGGAGTCGAAGCTATCACCAAAGCTAACCAGACTTGAGGTTTAGAAAACTCGAATTTTCCCACCTCCGGGGGAAAAGCCGTGCAAAGGAATAGGGACAAATGTTTGGAGATTCTCAAAGGCTTGCTTGCTTGCCTTCGGGTGTCGCGTACCAAGCCTTGAGAGATTAGTTCACCATTCAAAGCTCGCATTCGATCCACTGTTCCATTCTCCATCTAAAGGGACCTACGGGGCACTAGGCAGTGGGCAGAATAGAATGATTTAGCAGCGATATATCGAGATGGACGGGGTGGACCTGCATGCGTGATAGATTGGGTTTGGCAGGGTAGATGAGTAAGTCAATACACGATAACGATCTGAGAGAGAGAAAGAAAAAAACTTTACTCCCAATGATAGCTGGCACGTGGCTAGATAGAACCACATCACCACACTGAAAGTATGAATAGATTACAGAGTACTATAGGATACAACAAGGCGGGTTTGAATAATTAATATACAGACAGGTAATTCAAATACTATATTGATACGAAGTGCAAGGCCTTGAAAAAATATGCGTATCAAAAGCCGCGCGATTCGAAAAAAGGATGAGGCAAGAAGGAAAGTGATTTGAGATGATATCGATAGATTATATGCAGCTTGAGAACTCTCAGCAGGGTAAATGAGTAAGTCGTCCTCCTTCGAGTCTCGACATCTCTCTATCAGTCGCGCACTTCCTCTATTTTCAGAAGGCCCCGAAACGCACTGTTTCGAGTATCCAGATCAACTCCTGAGACGACGCCAAACCGCAAGCAGCCGGACAGCCCCGTCTCACTCGGGCCCGTGAGGTTACATTTCTCTCTCGCCTTGTCACGATTCTCGATTTTTCCAGGCCCGTCCGCCTTTGGCAGGGCTGAAGCTATATATAACGGCTTGGCTTTGTTTCCGCGCAATCGCATCGAAATCTTTCTGAGGCGTTTCCTCCCCCTTCCTTCACGGTGCAACACTGCAGCTTGCTCAAGGGGTCTGGTCATAGTCGCAGACAAGCTGTCATTGCCTCTCGCCAATCGATAGGCGACGATAAACATCAAACTTGACTCGATTGAAAAGACCCAGTCCGTTGTCTCGGAACCCCAGGAGGGCCAAGAACCTCACGATCGTCTCTGATCGCGTGCTCCCTTGCCAAACCTTCCCGCAAACCCTGCAGCGAACGTGTTCGCGACTTCAATAGAGTGTGGAACTTCGCCGCTCCAGCTCGAGTAGATGATTCCTCCTGGGATGAGAAAGCTTGCTATTTGGAACAACGCGGCCCCCACTCCGGTCATCCTGTAGTGCTGTTCGCTATCGGCCACAGCAACGCATCGCAACGTTTCCAGGCCCCAGATAGGCTCGGCCCTGGGATCTCCATGTGTTCGTGAACAATGACACCGCGGGGGCTCGCTTCAAAATTGACTTGGCGTCACAGTGTCGAGTTCGGAGTTCGGCTGGCTTCCTAACTTTCAGTGAGAGTTCATGTGCTGTATCGTAGATGGTTCATTCGTCTGGTCACGTAAACGCGCACTTACCTCGGGAGTCAGCCGTCAACAGGCAGCTTCGCAGTCGATGCCACAGACTCAAGATTTAAACACCACTGCGTTAATCCTGAGACCTTCTATATGTGACGTGCCAGACCGAGATCATTGGGATCATGCGCGTGCCTTCAATGACGGGTACCCCGTCAGCTTCAGATACCCCGCAAGTCCCAGGCGGAACTCAATATAAACGGTTCGCGATGGCCCAAGGCAAGAACAGCTCGGACAACGCCGGCCAAGACCGAGACGTTGAGGCTCTCTCTTTCTCCTCTTTGGCTGCTTGAAAGAATGGCTCTCCACTATTGAGCAGGTAGGAAGATTGGGAGCAGACGAACGAGAACGAATGCGCCACCCCCCCAAAGAAGAGTGTGGAAATTTCTCGGTGAACGCGGGCTCCGTAGCACTGCAGCGGCGGCCCCGAAGATTGCTGCGTAAAAGGCGGAGACCAAAGCGGGACTCGTGGCTTGGTTGAACTGACCGTGGGAGGATCACTTGATCTGGCCTGGTCTGTATATACGACGTACTGATCATGTGGTTTTCGATACCTGGCATCGCTCAACAGCAGTGTGGCACTATAGGATTTCCCTACTTGGGGTACTTTTGGAAGTGTGCTGGACGATAGATGCAGAGTGCCAAGTAGGCTGGCGCCAACGTCAACGGAGAGCGATGTAGCATCTGAAAAACAACCTGCCGAACAAATCGGGGGTTGACAGGCGTCCCTACAAGTCATGCCGGCGCGAGTTGATAGCGGGCACATCTTCCGGGAGACCGTCGTTGAACGGCATTGGCGCCGCCTGCTCGGCCCCGTCCCGGAACCTCTTATTATCCGCAGGACTGAACCCGATCCGGAATCCCACGGCCCCCGACTAGCCCAACGTGGTGCACCCAGGTAAGCAGCAAGTTTGGTTGAGGATCTAGGCGGCCTGGGTAACTATCATCCAGCCGTACCTCGATGGGCTGATGAGCCGCATCTTGAGACGGCATGATCAGATGCGCTCAAGTGGCATGGAGGCCATCATCGAACGAGACATCTCACTCGTAACATGGCGAGACAGGCAAGCTCGTCGCGGTTGTCAGATGAACATTGTGGATCGCTCCTATTGTTGAAACGGCATGGGGCTCCGCGTCTCATATCGGGGGTCGTCTCCTTCTTCCTTTCAAGGGACGATATGGGAAGACGAAAGCTTGCACTGTAGACCATTTCCTTGCCGATAAATTCGATCATGACTCGAGGGGTTCACCTTGACCATCAAGTTCGGGTTGTTTAATCGTGTGCATCGCGAGTGGCGAACGTCGCTTCGCATGGCGATAGCGGGCATAGCGAGCAAACCACAATGCACAACAACAACGGCTGACCGGCATGTCCCTGGGGCATTTTGTCTGCGACAAGTGACAATTCGTGACAACGTCAACCAGCAGGAGAATGACAGGCTCAGTCTGGGGACGTCCTGCGCCCAATGACGCCGGCCCATCCATCTCACCGACGGAAGCTGGGAGCCGGGGACTGGAGGACCGTCCGATTGCCAGGCCCGTCATCTCAACTTCCGCAACGTGTCCGACGGCGGTGGTCCTACGATGTTTGCCTTGAGTCGCTCCCTTCTCTTTCCCGAGAGAACGAGAAAGGAGGAGTGCGCATGAACCGGGATCAGCAAGCTCACGTGAGGTTTCCTAGTAGTCGTGCTGCGTGTCTTCGTCTAGTCTAGCTGAAGCGGTCGTGGTGGTGAAGCGAGAAAATCTGCGACGAGAAACTTTCTCTCCCCCTCAGATTGATGGCGCATCTGAAACATGCCCGCGACGCCGGCTAGACTTCAGGCTGAAGATGGCGGGTGGTCATGGGAGCGACTGATTTGGTGTTTCACCGCACTTTGAGAGATAATACCGAGTCGTCATTGGATGGGACGGCAATAGCCCGAATTGCAGGACGAGGTTGATGAATTGATCTGCTGCACAGCTGACGGAATTCCGACCTTCCTTCCATCGGAATTCGTCCCAAGTTAGTTCGACCCCGGGAAGTCGAGGGTGCGGGATGTCAACCGAATCCGTATTGCTTTGGGTACAGTAATCCCGGCTTAGTCCATAGCAGTTGCTTGGGACTTGTCTTTTGAAGATATGAAAAGGCAATGATCCAACTTGAGTTCTTGACGATACGACTGGTCCACACATGAGTTTTCCCGTCTCTTTACTGGGTCGTCGACTGAATATGATGTTAGAAACTTTTCCTATAGACTGGTGGTGGAGTTGATGGAAACCCATCGAGGTACGGATAGACGGTCCAGAGTTGCTTCAGTGTAAGCATAGCCGACGCGACTGCGCGACCCCATCACATACATCCGCAGAGTAAGCCAACTGTGAGTTAATTGGCTTGTCCCAGGTATAGAGAGTATTGGTCAATCATGCCTACCTGAAGCCAACAGGCTTGATCCAGGGGCGAAAATGTCTAAAGCCAATGCAATATGACTTATCAGAAAGTCAGAACCTTGAAGCAGAGAAGCTTACCTGTTCCCATCACTTCTTAAAGTCCGGGTGAGTTACAAGGCCTGAAGGAATCTAAATGTTCTTGGTGCGAACAGAGGTGAACAACTTGCGTGCCAAAAGTCCCATGTAGTTTGAAGTCATCAAACACGAGGCCGCAAATGGCACGCTAAGATTTCGGACGAAGGGCCTCTCTGAGCTTGGTGATTGCAGTTGATGAAGGAACAAAGTAGTCTCGCACTCTCGCTAGAACAAATGTCACCAGAACCTCTCCATTTCCAAATCATCTTCAGTCATTACGGCGCTTGGCGTAGTAGTCTGAGGCGTCAAAGCCCTCGCATGCAGCTGACTGTTTGTCATACAAACGAAACAATTGCTTGCTGTGTTCTGCAGCAATGAACGACCATGACAAAAAGTGAGCTGCAGCTGTTGAGGTGCAGTAGTGGGCAGCTTCATCAGCGGAACTGGAGCTTCCCGATGCTTGGCCAGGCCGTCTTGGACATGGGCTGCAATGCAGCAGATCTGAACCACACAATGGTTGGCCCAGAGCTGCCGTCTGGCGTGGTATCAAGATGACCCCGTATGCTGGGTGTTCGACGCTCTGGCTGCTTCCTATAGTCGTCTGCAGTGACCTCAAAACCGGCATCATAATTCCTGAGTCCTGACGGCATTTCGCCTTGGTCGCATATGGGACGAGGGGCTGCGGATATTCCAGTTTGCAATGCAATGAGCTCCCAAGTTCCCACCTGTCTTTCTCAGGGTCCAAGTCCTCTGGTCCTCCCGCCATGCTTGATTGGCTGGCTTTGTCGATCCTAACGCTTGGCTTCCGAGGCGGCTGGCACAGGCCACCAATGGTGTTTCCCATTCAGAGCGGCTTCTGGCTCATGAGTTCGTTCAGGCGTCTCAAGGCGTTCGCGAGTACTAGCCGGGCATGTCAAGACGAGCGCAATGCATGCTCCTTTTCCCACTGTTGTCTCGTCGTACTCAACATGGATCTCATGGCGGTTCAGACTTCACGGGATCGTAGTGTGGGATTCCATTGCGCGCCTTGAGCGGCTCCCGGGCTTTCGCGCCTATGGCTCGAATGCGCTCATGGAAATGGATTAAAATTGCTGGATCCACCAGCCATCAGAATCCAGGAACACCGGCCGCCCAGGCGCTACGGGAAAAAGCGACGCTGGAGAGGGGGTTTCCTGGTACTCGCATCTGGTTCGCGCCCACAGCACCAGCCGGGAATAGCTGCACTGCCGCCAGAGGCTTTTCGTAGGCCATACTCCGTAGTCTACACCGCTGCAGCAGTTTAAATTGGCATCGACTTCTGATACTTTTGATCAGAACCTGCTTGGTCTTTTCAAGGACCCGCTTTCTTCACTGCCATCTGCTGCTTGTTCCATGCCACTCCAAGCTCTCTCGTTGGCTGACTGAGGGCCGTAATGTCGACTTTATCAACACGACCGGGGACGATTCTCCGGATCTGGAAAAGAACTGACGGCTTGCGCCCGCGAGCCTCAGGGGCCGGACGAGATTTATCTTGCTATTTTGCTTCGGAATACCGGTTCCAAGCGGGTCTGCCGATTCGCCGTATTTGCCCCTCGAGCACCGGTTCATTTGCCCCTGCGGATGCACATTGAGCCTCTCCAGATCAAAGAAAACTGCCGACCTGACTGAGTACTCTGCGGCCCCGGCTCCCAATAGGCTCACGGGTACCCGTGCATGTAAAATTCCACGGGTACCCGTGAATATGACTAAGCAAGCGGGCGGCACAGATTGACAAACGCGTCTCGCGTCAGTCTACACGTTTCTCTGCACATGGCATGGCAACTCGGCCACACGTTTCTGAGAAGGATGGAATTAGCCCCGGACAACCCAGCACTCAATTTCCTAGACGACTGTCTACCTCCTGAAAGCGAATATGAATCGCGCGATGACCTCATATTGGCAATTAACAACTGGGCGGCAACAAGGGGATACGCCTTCACGACTGGGAGATCGACCAAAGAGAAGAGTGGGCGGCGGACAATTACGTATTCGTGCGATCGGTCGTGTCATCCCCCAAGCAAAGCAATAGCGCGCCAAAGACGAACTACGAGCAGAGGAACGGGCTGTCAATTTTCCGTGCTTGCCAAGGAATCCTTGGATAAAAGCACCTGGAGCTTGAGACACCGGCCCGACAAACGGTTTTCTTCTCATAATCACCCCCCAAGCCAGCATCCGTCTGCTCACCCAACACACCGCAAGCTGACAGAGGAGGATTTTGCGAAAGTAGCCGGCCTATCAAATGCTGGCGTCGCGCCCAGAGATATCCGGACATACATACGACAAACCACAAACTCTGTAGCAACCCAACAGGATATCTACAATCATATTGCAGCCATCAAACGAGATGTTCGTGGAGGGCAGACCTCGATCCACGCACTTGCCAATCAGCTTGACGAGGAAGGCTTCTGGAGTCGAATGCAATTCGCACCAGATGGCCGCGTTACAGCTGTCTTGTTCGCCCATCCAGATTCCCTAGCCCTCCTACAAGCTTACCCAGACGTAATGTTGCTGGACTGCACTTACAAGACCAACAAGTACGGTATGCCGCTTCTTGACATAGTTGGCGTCGATGCTTGTCAGCGGTCCTTCTGTATCGCGTTCGCATTTCTCAGTGGCGAAACGGAAGATGATTATACCTGGGCTCTGGAGCGGGTCAGGTCCTTGTATGACCAGTGCAACGCTAGCCTACCTGCGGTTGTCCTCACAGATCGCTGCTTAGCATGCATCAATGCTGTAGCCGCTGTCTTTCCATCTTCGGCATCTTTGCTTTGCCTCTGGCATGCGAACAAGGCGGTGCTTCAGCATTGCTACTCTGCGTTCGACCTTGTCAAGACGAAGACAACCAGTAGCCCTGCAGCGCCGAAGTCATCGACTGACAACTGGGGAGAGTTCTACAAGTCCTGGCATTTGATTGTTAGCTCGCCGTCTGAGATGACCTTTCAGGAGCGTGTTTCTCACTTCGAGGAACGCTATCTTACGGACCATCTTGAAGAAGTCGGCTACATTACGTCCTTTTGGCTCCATCCGTACAAGGAGAAGCTAGTGAAAGCCTGGGTTGATCAGCACACGCACTTTGGCAACGTGGCTACCTCGCGGGTTGAAGGCATCCATGCTCTGCTCAAATCGCACCTAAAGAGATCCACGTTAGATCTGTTCGAGGCTTGGCGAGCGATGAAGCACGCGTTACTCAATCAGCTCTCGGATCTGAGATCTAATCAAGCCAAGCAACAGACACGAATACCGGTCGAGCTTTCGGGAACAATATATGGCGCAGTACTTGGCTGGGTATCGCATGAAGCCCTCCGGAAAGTAGAAGAGCAGCGGAAGCTGCTCAGTAAGAATGGCACAGACCATTCCTCAGTCTGTACGGGGGCCTTCTCTCGTGTGTACGGTTTGCCATGTCTACACAAATTAAAGGCTTTACAGGAACAAAATCTTGTTCTGCTACGTGAGCACTTTCATGCGCATTGGCACCTGAGGCGTGAAGGGGCGCCGCAGCTGTTACTAGAGCCTCGCCAGCGCATCGAGCCCAGGTTGCAATCGGAGAACCCCCGAATTCCGGTTTCAAGCACTAGGCGAGACCCAAGCAGCTTTGAAATCGTTGAACTCGCGTCACGGGCCCCAAGCACATGTAGTAGGTGTCATGCGGTTGGCCATATTATGACCTCAAAGGCGTGCCCTCAGCGATATTCACATTTGTTGCCTGAGCCAATTCCTACTCCAGGCCTAGCCCCAACACCGAGTGCAGTCTGTGCCACTACACGGAAAGTCACGGAAAGCCTTCCGTCGAACGCCGTACAGTCCATAATAGCCTTGACTCAATCGACTACAGATGAAGCAGTGGATGCCAGGATGTCACCACCTGAGATGCAACCACCGTCTCGGCGTTCGCGTTCGCCCTCGGTTCTAAAATACGATTCACCTCAGGCAATATACGGACGGTACTGTGCAGCGAGAACCGCCTGGTATGCCGCCCAGCCTCGTGGAAGTGTCAAAACAAACCAGGAGTATCGGAGGGCAATGGGACTTCCGCTGCGTTATGGGAAGAAATGTTATGAGTGGTGTCTTGACTACAAGCAGATGAACAAACGCTGCACCACCTCCAAGGGGTCAAGAGATTGGCTTAAGGAAGAGATGATGGCTTATCTAGACTGGGACAGAGCTGAAGAGGAACGGGTTGATGAGCTTGTCATCGCTGAGGAGGGAGAAAACCCTTTTCGAAATAGCAGGAGAGGTATGGGCGACATCTGGAAACGAGTTGAGAGAGACAACGCCGAACAGGAGGCGTTGTATGCTGAGAATCTGCCCGAAGAGTGTATTGTGGTTAAATCGTAAATTATAGGGTAATTGGAACCCAAGCCGCGGCCCCGATTGGCTCAAGACCCGTGCAGCGAACGTGCTTAGTCATATTCACGGGTACCCGTGGAATTTTACATGCACGGGTACCCGTGAGCCTATTGGGAGCCTGCGGCCCCCTTCTGATTAATCAGCCTTTTAGTGACATCGGTGGAAGTAGAGGCCGCAGCAAAGACACTGCTCTTCACTCATCAACCTTGACTGCCCAACCTGGTCACGCTGTGTAGGCTGGAAAGCTCTCAGTTGCCCATCATGCCAGTGTCTTCTTTGAAAGATGCTTGCACACGAGGATCAATAACCGCTTGTTCCGGAGTTCAACGGCGTCTCAACTTTGGTAACGTCCAAAGCCTAGACTCTTCTATGAGATGTAGTCGAAAGGTCCTGATGGGAGGCTCGAGCGATTGCCCAAGTACGTTGTGTGACCTCATGACTTGGTTGGGAACTGTTCCCGAGTCATCGAAGGCATGGTGTGTGATGTAGCGGGCAGTCTCCGCAGATTTCCGTGTTTCCTCTCAGGCGCTCGGGTTCGGACTTGCGCAATAGTCTAGCATCACATCGAACTCCCAAAGAGTGCAATTGGCGACGAAAGCTGGAAGAGATTGGAGATTAAGGGTTCGACAAGATTCCTGTCTTGTAACACTAAACAACGGATCCGTCCGAGAAGTGATTTACCCGCGAGTATTCCTGAAAGCTAGCCCGTCGATTCGAGGGATGTTGGGTTGACAACTGTCCCTCAACGTTGTTTGTGTCGAAGTTGAGGCAACGCCCTAATGCTGTTCTTGTAAAGCATGTTTATACTGGAGACACGGTGCACTCATGCGACGGCGCAAGTGACGGCTGAGCAGAAGACATTGCGGCATATGTCCTGCCATAGTCAGTTAATCCAACCCAAGGTGACCGCCTGGACGAAGTACGGGCGCCTTAGCTCCTAACCCAGCGAGCGAATTGCACGATTCCTGCTGGCGGAGGATGTGCCTGTAGTCTGTACCTGCAGAAGCGGTGCTACCTCCTGCATGACACATAAACATGCTAGACCAAGTCTGGCAAGATACCTAGCAAGCCTAGCCACTCTCTGTTGTAATGTAGGATTCCACAGGCCAGAGGGGGCAAAACCAGACCACGGCGAAAGCTCAGTGCACACATTCCCAATGGGTGCGACAGCGTGCGACGTGGCAGACAGCGTTTGAATCAACAGGATCAGGACAAAATCCAGCCGACAGCTGCTCGCGCATGAAGCCGCTGTGGAGTTTGTCATTCCCATGAAGGCGTGACACGTCGAGTGAATGCTGTAGACGCGCCGCGAATAGCATGTCAAATGTGACAGCAAACGGAGGACGTGGTTAGCATTTGCTGGACGATCGTGACTGGCGAGGATCCCAGTTTCGAATGGATCCCATTCCAAGTGCCCACAATTCTCTTTTTCTTTCTATTGACATGACGGGCATTCGATCCTGGCTGGCCCAGACTCAGAACACCGCTTGGGCCACTTTCCCGTCCCCGGTCTTAGGAGTTGAAGTGCTGATTTTGGAGTGGAGGCATCAAATGTCTGGGACTTGAGGACCTCAAAGAGGGACGAGGACCAAGGAGACGAGGAACGCAGGGGTATGATTGGAGCAAACCGAGCAGAGACCCCTGGCCCTGAGATTAATTAAGGCCTTGGGTCGTGGCGTTAGGAATCTGGGGTGTGTAAGAATGGTCCACAGTGCTACGGCACCCGTGCCATGCATGCATGGATGTGGTGGAGGAAGCATGTCCGTGGGAGAACTGTAGACGTCCTGATTGTGTATTCCGGAGGGGACAACTTATTATCCCGTGAGTGAGTGTCGTTGGCCAGCTCAAAGACTCAAGTCTCTCCAAGTGCCGAGAAGGAGCCTCAGTGCACGGTGTAGAAGGTGTTCAGATGCCTCAAAGATGATGGAGCCGAATCAAAAGGCGGCTCAAACCTTGCGATGCTGACGAAGCTTGAAATAGAGATTCCGTGGACGACGACGACGGGGAAGCGCAAAGAGCCAGGTGACAAAAGCCAGTTGGCGTGTGTATTCCGTACTGATCTGTAATGCATAGATATGTTTATCGTACGCGGACTCGTGACTGACATGTTTCAAGAAAGCCGGTGTTTCGGGAGAGAGGCAAGATGACCTGTGGCCACTCGCCAGCAGTGCGGGACATTCGGGACATTACGCAACGACAACATGTTGCTAAATGTTGGGTGCCGAACGCCTGGCAAGTTATTGGATGAAATTGAGGGCTATGTACTCCGTACTGTGTAATGTCGTGAAGGGCGAGGTACTTTCCGGAGCCGAGCGGTCGAGACCATGGTCTACCTAGGTTGGTTATACGTCAAAGGTTAAAGGAAGTCGGAGAGTTCCAGCCTGTTATATACATTAGTGAGGTTTGAGTAACCGGTGCACATCTGATCGTGGCCAACCTGTTATTCTGTAGATTGACGAACACAGTGGACTGTAGTCATGGAAAGCCCGTCGAGGTAGGGAGAGAGTGCCGGGTCGGGATCGAGAACAAAAGTTGAGATTGGCGTAACGAGTCTCCAAGGGCGCGGGGCGGCCGTGTGGGATGGAGTCTGAAGATGCCTTGGGACCACGTCTAGCCGGGCTCAACAAGCTACTGCTGGCCAACACACGTGGCTGACGTGGGAAACCGTGAGCGCCCGTGTTGATCAGGTTCCTACGGCACCTACTGCGTAGTGGTGCCGGTTTACTGGTTCCGTCGGTCTGCACGAAGAGAGTGAAACCAAAGGCAAAAAGGCTGGGTATCAGACGTGGTTGGAGGTGGAAGTCGACGCAAAAAAGATACGGCACATCCAAATTGGAGGACCTACCTAAGGTACCTAGCAATGTAAGGAACTTTGAGATGCCTCATAGGTTTAGGACAGAAAGAGGTACCGAGGTACCTCACAATCTACTTGGGCAATTGCAGGAGCAATGAAAGGCACCTCATGCCACATTCAGTCCCGCTGTCTATTGCGGAAAGAATGATCTACCAAGGTAGGGAGGTCGGCACTTTCCAAAGCGAATTGCATGGACTCGAAAGGAAGGTGATATCGTGAAGGAGCAACTGCACTACGAGGTACAGCAAGGTTCCTACCTAATCCATAGGCAGGTACGTTGGAATTAGCCTTATGTAAGCTTAAGCACTTTCGAGATTGCAGGTGGCTTGAGTAAACCTCAGTTTATTTCTCAACCACAAAAGAAGACCCATCAAAACGTTTATGAGCAATCCCCTTGGTTACGACTTGATCTTAGGTACTGAGGCAAAGGTCCAGAACGCCATCAAAGCCATCATGGAGGCAATGCCATGGACGATGAACAACAAATCTAGGGTGACGGTTTCGCCATTGACACACCAGCGGCAGACCGGCTGCCCTGGGAGATGAAGACGTTTCTCACAACCTTAAAGAGTCCAACACTAAATGACCAAATCACCCTTAGTATGCGAACTAGAGGCAAAGGCTGACAGGGTTCACAGACGAATACTTTCTTCGCTACCAGACTGTCATCCTGTGGCACCATTCTACGCAGCGCGTCCTTGAGCCCCCGCACCAAGTAACGCTTTGAAATGATAGTGGCACGTGTATGGGACACCGTCATTCCCGCCCACCTTGGGGGCCAAAGGCTCCAAAGGGATACGACTATCGGGGAGGATACAGCAATTGCTCCGATGCTAGCTAGCACGTTCAAGGTCGAGGAGCCACGGTGCCACGGAGCCTCGAGGGAGGGGATTATGGAAGGGAGGGATCCATCATCCGGATGACCAACAACGAGGTGCAAAATGAACCCCAGAGGTCAATGCTGATGGTGCATCGCATCTCTTTTGCGGCTTGCCAGTGGTCGTTGTCAATCCAATCTCTTCTGCCTCCTCCTCTTCATCTGCTCCCCACGTCCACGTCTATACGTGCTGCCACGCTCGCATTCTCTCCGACTTTCTCATCCTCGTCCCTCTCCCCCGAGTCGGCCCCTGAACGGACGGAACTTCGAAAGCCATCAAAATACCTCCAAGCGTATGGTTATCACTGAGCACAAGCTAGGTATTCCATATCCCAACTGCATCCTTCCCCTTCTGGCCACACCTTGCAGCGGCAGATGCAGACTCCAAGAGCCACGAACCCACCCACACGACCAGGAACGTACAGCAGCAGCAACAGGGGACTGCACCACCTGCAGCCAATTCCAAGTCCACGCATCCTGCTGCTACGACTCTCCGGTTGTCATTGGCCCCTCTGGCTTCCAAGTACCTTGTCGCGGTATCAGTGGTGTGAAGATACCTCCATTACACACGCTTCGAGGTACTACCACCACCACTACCATCGACCGGCCACTTATTCCCCGGCACCCTGTTTAACCTTCAGATGTACGTTCCTCTCCCCCCGTCTCCCCCTCCTGTTAAGGTCCGGTTGCGAATGCCGCTGCCGACCTGCCCTGAATTATTATGGAATGAATGTTTGGCGACAGATACGCTTGACTGGTTGAATGGACTACTGCCATACAGATGATATTCTGATCTTCTTATCCAGACTTCTAGGCTCTCCGCTAGTCTTATTGACGGCCGACTCGAATGCTACCCTCCTCTGCCACGAACAGTACCACAAATCAGCCTCCCTTTGCTAGTTGCTGGAAGCGGCAAGACGGGAAATAAGGGGTTTCTTTGATCAAAACACCACAACACCACAACATCAAATCCTTTCCCCCTCAACGCGGGTCGACTCTGAAGCTGGCCTGTCTGGCCTAGCCCACCATCATTCGCGTTGCATTGCACTGCATTGTTCATCAGGAAACCTACACTTCGGCCATCCCAACGGCCACATCCTTCCGTCTCTTTGCTTCCGGCCTCACCTCACCTCACGGATGCCAAATCGTCCATAGCCGAGTTGCTTCTCTCGCTCTCTCTCTCCGTGTCTGTGCCAGCCAATGGTCCTCTCGTCCAGCATCGCCCCCCCGTCACAACACTACACACACACACACACACATACACATACACACACATACATACACGCACACGCGCACGCCTACCCAAGACAACGGGCACTTGTCTCATCCACGCCCGGCTGGCAGCATTCCTTTCACAAAGCATATCCGGCACCGCGAGACGGGGCCCCCCATCTCTCCCTTGGGACTCGAAGGACGCCATTCATCTGATCTACTGTGCTCTGCTCTGGCCCACGTCCAAGATACAACCTCTTCTTCGTCCTTCCACATCCTCGTCATACGTCCTGCTCGCCTTGCAATACTACAGCAACCCGTGACGACAACCTCAACTCCCAAAACCCAACCCGGCAGAGCCAAAATCTGCCTGTTCGATTGGCTACCTATTTGCATCAGAACAGTTCGGCGTCGACTCTCATCTGCTTCGAATATTCTTTGCAAGACTGGCCCCTCGGCTCCGCTCTCCGTCCGCGTCCCTTTCCCGGCTGGATTCGCTCGCTCCCGAGAAACAAAAATAAGATACCTATACTGCAGTCTGCATCCCGTCTAGAAAGAGGCCGGTCTACATGCAACGGCAGTCGGGGTTACCCAGGCATCTCGAAACCGCTGCGAGGTTGTCCTGCGTTAAGCTCTGACCCTGCACACACCCCTAGTTGGGCCGCCGGCCAGTTGTCTTTCCGTCGCATTGCCCACCATGTCGCAGCTTGCGCTCCAGACTCAGAGTGCCCAGGGCTCGACTTCATATCCTGATGCTTCTGGTACGACTTCTACGTCTGGTCCTCCCGTTGACGTATCCGCTTCTGCTTCTGCCTCTGCCGCTGCCGTTGCTTCTGCTTCTGCTGCTGATGCTCCTCCACGTCGTCCTGCTGTCGCCCCCGGTACTCATCATCACCCTCGCCTCCCTCACCAAAAACATCCTCTTCACCGGCTGCAGGTCGCAGACGTCTCCTCTTACTCTCCTTCTTCCAAGGATGGCCCCACGACAGGCCTCTTGATCCCAGCATCCGATCCTGCAAGCATTAGCAACAGCACCACCACCGCCAATACAAGCATCGCTGCCGCTACTGCTGCCAGTCACACTCCTAGCAGTGCGACCAGCCCTCTTCTTACTCCATCTCCAAGGTACGTTCCACTGGCCTCCACTGGCTCTGATTACCAAACGGGTAACGGTCCACTCTTTGCTCTGCTCTGCTTCGCTCTGGTTTGCCTGTCTGCTTCCCAGTCTCTCTCTCTCTGTCTCTCTCTGCGCCTCGCTTTTTCTTGCTGCCGCTGCTGTTGCTGCTTCTTTCTCCTCCTTGACCCTACCACCTTGCCTTGACTTTTCCACGCCCGCCAGACAGACAATCCTGCCACTCGCTCGCTTGTCTACTCACGCCTACGCCCACCACCGAACCCCAACCGCAGAGGGAGAGAAAGAGAACGCAACTTCTTTCTACCTCGATCCCCGGTCTGCGAGGATATCGTGTGCTTGTCTTGGCGGCCCGCGACTCTTTTTAATTTTTGACTTTCGCTCAGCGCCGACGCTCCAGCTACCTTACCATCTATCCTGCTATATTGTGGGACTTGGATCCACGGCTTTGGCCTGGCAGCATATTGACTGATGCCCTCCTCCACCCTATAGATCCCCTCGGCGCCCGATTCCTAGTCCCCTCCACGAGAGTACCGCCATTTCTTCGCCGACGAGTCCTTTCTCTCCTCGATCGTCGTCTTTCTTCCCACCCGGGGCAAGATTTCATACCTACCGTTCTCGGACTGTCCCAGACATAGTCACGACGCCCACCGACGACTTCCGCTCTCCAGTAGATCTTTCGGGAGAACCGCAGACATATTACCAAAGCGACTCGTCCTGCTCATCCACGCCCGAACGCAACACACTACGGTACGTGTGTGTCTCGTCGCCTCCCGACCTGACCGTTCCTAGTTGCTTACCGCGTCGTCACACGTTACACAGCTGACAGACGAAACAGTCACAGTAGACCGAGAATATCACCGCTTCCTACGAATGATAACCGAAGCGCCTCCGAACCTGTTTTGATATCTAGGCCTCTCGCAGGCCCCCTTCGATCTCCAATGTCTTCTTCCGGAGGATTGGCCGCTGCATCGCGGGGCAAACAGAGCAAAGGAGCACCGCGAAACTCCTCCATGGACTCTGCCATTTCAGCCATCTCGACAAAGTCACAGTCACACAGAGGCGCACCTGGTAGTCAGTCAGATCCCACAGACATTGAGGGATTGATCAAGACTGCAGGCAGCCCGGAAGCGGTGATCCAGTACCTGTTGAAAGAGAAGAACTCGCAATCACAACAGAACGCGCAATTATGGCGCTTAGTCGACAAACAGAGGGCCATGATTTTGGGCCTCAATAAAGACTTGGAACGGGCCTTGAAAGACAAGGAGAAGTACCGAAAGAAATTGAAGGAAGTCATGTCAATACCGGAATTGACAGGGGCCGACGGGTCGAAGACTGGCAGCAAGGTCCTCAAGATGCCCGTTAGCAGAGGAATACCAACAGTCGACGTCAGCGCCCCCAAGGAGCGACAGGTTGTTGCACCGGATTCGCCAACTCTAGACTCCGATAGTCAGAAGCACTCGCCCGTAGATATGGCCATGGCCCCCTACCCGATCACACCTCCCGCAGACCAGCCCAACGGCCCTCCATCAGCTGTTGGTGCTTTACTAGATCCGTCTCACGAGATGCCCAAAGCACATGAGCACGCCTACGATCAGTACGACCATGATGCTGAGGAACAAGCAGCGGAAGCGGCACGGAGGGAGCATGAGGACGAACAAATCATGGATCTTCCCCTCAACTTTGGCCTTCCACCATCCCGAAGCCTACCGAGCCAGCCGCCAAGCATGCCTCCCCCTAAGCCCCCTGGAGTATCAGAACCAGCATCCGCAGCCAGCGAGGGCATTTCACAGTTTCCTGCCCCACCGCCGCGGAAACCTCCCCCAGCTCCTCTGCAGCTCCAGAGCCAATCTCAACCAGGCGCTGAGGACGATGACTCTGACTCCGATTTCGACGACATTTTAGAGGTGGACGAAATCCTCACCGAGCAACGCGGTCGACGCAGAACACGCGAAGAGGACGACCAGGACCGGGAGATCTTGGCCATTCAAGAGGCGGAGAGGAGAAGCTTATCTAAGAAAAGCACATCGCAGAGTCAGACTACCTCACCGACTGAGGGCATCCCTGAGGCACCATCGGGCTTGCCACCAAGCCCTCCTAAGAGGATGCAGCGTGAGAATATCCCGGCATCTTTGGGATCAGTTCTTAGTGCAACTACTCTCGAAGCTCCCTTGCTGAGCCCCGGGCTCCCATCAAGCCCGCGTCCAATGGGCGGCCCATCATCATCTGATAGCCCCGCTCCCAGTGTTTCTTCATTTCCTGCCGCGCCTCTGTCGCCACGGCCGCCTCGCCAGCCGATCCCTCTTCCACCAGGCCACTCCCTCCAAACACCAGCCGGTCCAGAGCCCATGGTTCTCAAGAGCCCTCAACCTCTGAATATTGTCAAGAAGGGATGGGATTCAGCTAGCGAGAAGAGCCGTGGCAGTCCGACCGAACGTGGCCGCATCTTCAAGGGGTTCACCACTGAGGAGTACCCCGATCTACTCCTGCCGCCGAACGTCTTGCCGACAATCAAGGTCAAGGTTGCGTCCTCTCGCATGAAACCATCTCGAGCAAGTTTGATGTCTTTGACACAACTGGAAGAAGATCCGGTGTTCACCCTAGCCATTTTCTCGCGTTCTGAACCGGGCGAGCTTTGGCGGGTTGAGAAGGACTCTGCTTCGCTCGCAAAGCTCGACCAAAGGTTGAAACAGTGTCCAGCCTTCACTGCGAAGACGCCAGAGAGGTCGCTCTTCAGTGGCCACGCACCTGCTAAGCTCGACGCGCGGCGAATCGCTCTCAATCACTACCTGGAAGAGCTTCTGGAGACTCCCTTGGATACCGCCAGTGCTCTTGAGCTCTGCAAGTATCTGTCGACTCACACATTGCCACCAAACGCAGATGACGCCGGCTCGATGGAGAGCATGGCGGAAGCCAAAGTCAAGACTGGCCCTGGCGGCCGCCCTTTCAGGACCGGATATCTCACCAAGAGAGGCAAGAACTTTGGTGGCTGGAAAGCCCGCTTCTTTGTTCTCGATGGGCCGCACCTGAAGTACTACGAAACGCCTGGGGGCGCTCACCTAGGCACCATCAAGCTTCCCAGTTCTCAGATTGGCAAACAGTCCCAGAGCAACGAGAACCAGTCACCACAACCGTCTGCCAACTCGGATGACATGGACAACCAGTACCGTCATGCATTCTTGATTCTTGAACCAAAGAAGAAGGACTCTACCAGTCATGTGAAGCATGTCCTCTGTGCCGAGAATGACAGGGAAAGGGACCAGTGGGTCGACGCTTTACTCAGATGGATTGATTATAAAGATCCGGAAGAAGATGAGGCCCATGCTGCGAAGCAGCAGACTCAAGATCGCCAACATGCTAGCGCAGCTGAGCGTGCTGAGAAGAAAAAGCAGCGATACAAGAAGACCGCTTCACAGCACCATCATCAGCCTACTGAGTCGGACAGCCTCATCGGCGTGAGGTACGACGCGACATCTCAAGGCGACCTTCCCCACCATGGCGGACCTGCGCGTCCCAAAAATTCTGGACACATGCCAGAGAACAGCCATCCCGTTGAACCCATGGGAATGTCTTCGCAGCCATCCATGATGATCTCCGCTCCACGGGACATGCAGGTCATTGCCGACTCTGCGCAATGGGGAAATAGAGCAGGACTTGGCGTTCCCGTCAACGAGGAGAAGAAGCTGAAGAAGCGAAGCTTTTTCGGGTTTGGCCCCAAGACGAGATCCTCATCTGACGGCCAAGATTCTCTGTTCGGTGGAAGCGAAGGCGGCTCATCAACACCTCCCCAGGGCGGATACCAGGGACCTATTCGCCAAGCTTTCGGGGCTCCTTTGGCCGAAGCTGTCCGCTACAACCATCCTGTTGATGTGAACGTGCCTCTTCCGGCTGTTGTGTATCGATGTATTCAATACTTGGATGCCAAGAACGCAATTTTGGAGGAAGGCATTTTCCGCCTGAGCGGCTCAAACGTCGTTATCAAGCAGCTTCGCGAACGCTTCAACACCGAGGGCGATGTCAACCTAGTTACCGACGAGACTTACTATGACATTCATGCTGTGGCGTCGCTATTGAAGTTGTATCTCCGTGAACTTCCGACAACAATACTCACCCGGGACCTCCACCTCGAGTTCCTGTCTGTGACGGAGATGACCGACCAAAGAGACAAAATCGCCGCTGTGTCCGAGCTTGTTCAGAGGCTGCCCCAAGCAAACGCCACTTTACTCAAGTATCTGATTGCATTTTTGATCAAGATTATCAACAACGCAGACATGAACAAGATGACGGTCCGCAACGTGGGCATCGTGTTTTCTCCAACCCTGAACATCCCAGCACCAGTATTTGCCTTGCTGTTGCAAAACTACTTTGGCATCTTCGGCTTAGAACCCGAGCAGTATGAGCTGCCGTCTTCATTCGCCGAAGGGGAGACGGGCCGAGAGAGATCAGGCTCCCTGCCTTCGATGAACAACGGCCTTCCGAACCGGCCTTCCTACGACCCTTCCCAACATGCGCGTCCTTCCACATCAGCGGGGTCCAGTCAATCACCGCATCGCCAGAGATTGATGGATGCCATGACTGGCCAGCAACGCACCGGTAACACCCCCCCTCCTCTGCTCCAGGACCTGCAGAGTGCTCGACAGTCTCCCACACCGCCACCAAATTACCCCGTCGGCCGTGGCACGACATATGAGCCTCAGTACATGCCATCTGGATATCAGAATAACAACTACCAGCAAATGGCTCGCGGCTATGACAGTGGTTCCTCAGGATACGACCCACATAAGAGACGTGAAAGTGCCATTTTTATGGGCAACATGGTCGGTCTCAACCCACAAAGTTCCAAGAGTCGATTGCGAGAAGAGACCCAGTTCTGAGATGCCTTATTTCGCCTCTGGTTAGTCTGGTTGCTTCCGGCCTCACTTTCACTCACTCATTACGCAAACATACCCATTCGTTCACACGCAGCGTTGATACCATGCCTTGCATATTTTTCTTCACGTTTTATTTATTAATGCCAGCTCAAAGGGCATGGACGACATGATGTCGCCAATATACCCGAACATATCACCAATCCGGACTGGCGTCGAGCGCTCCACTTCTATTTAATACCGATCAACCCCTACACATCTCAAGCCTCTTTGAAATGTCAACTATTCCACATTCGCGAGCCGACGTAGAAGTGAGCTTGACGCGGGGTGCCTGTCGGCAAAAGTGGAAAATCCAATGAGTACGAGGGACAACTTTTGTATCATATGGACACAGGAGACATTGCTGTCCAAGGCGCCGCTGTCTCCCATGTGGTTTTTTTGGTGGTTTATGCTTGCTTTGTTTCACAGATCTCAGCATGGCGTTGACGGTGATGAGCTGCGAGTGGCACCTCGTCTCATGATTTCCAGGATCGCATGCAGCGAAGGTTCGGCTTTGGCATTCTATATTACAGTTCAGCTTAAATAACGGAAAATCTTTTCCCAATGATGTTTACATTTTGAGAGGTGACAATCTAGAATCGATCTGCCCCAAATTAGAGATGGGGATGTGAATGCACTTTTGAATGTTACTTCGCTTGATACCTGCTGCCCTCCCCGCTGACTAATATTTGTTAGTGACGGAAAGGTCGGCGCACAGCCCGTCGGCCACAACTCTCCGCGCCCTCCGCCGAACAAAGGTCGGTATTTTCTGTCGCCGTCACCGATCATCCGATATTGGCTTTCAGCACTGCACGTCGCCAAGCTCCGCCCGCAATGGATCACGGCGCCGCAGTCCTCGACCCAGCACTACGAAGCGCGGAGCCCTCTAACAATGGCAGCAATGGCATGAGCGTGACCCCTCAAGGCGCTGCCGGCGCCTACCATGATGACGAAGCCGCCGCCGTCGCCGCTGGAGCAAGTTCTGAGGGCCAGGGACAGGGACACCATCACCACCACCACCACCCCGATTCCCCCGAGACGCCTCACTCGGGCCACGACGGCGAGACGCCACAGAACGATGCGATCCACGGCGGGAACCCCGACGACCCCAAGCGGCCGCGCGCATGCGAGGCGTGCCGGGGTCTCAAGGTGCGATGCGAACCCGATCCGAACGATACCGAGGGCCCGTGTAAGCGGTGCAAGAAGGCGGGGAGGAACTGCGTTGTGACGATGCCAACGCGCAAGAGGCAGAAGAAGACGGACTCGAGGGTCGCGGAGCTGGAGAAGAAGATTGATGCGTTGACGGCGAGCTTGCAGGCCCGCGGAAGCTCCGCGGCGCCTGGCGCCGCGCCGGCGGTGACGACGACGACGACAAGCACGCATGCTGCCTTGCCCACGCCGGGTAGGGACGAGAATCCGTATAACAAGGGGTGGGGAGGCCACGGGCTCGCGAGGGAATGGACTTCGAGTACGGTCGCTGGGACGGGATTATCTGTGGAAGGGCTCGACCCGCAGGAGGCGCACGCGGCGGAGAAGGGGCGGTTTGACCATATCACTTTCCCTGCGCCCTCCGCCGCAGCGGCAGGGCAAAAGAGGAAACACTCGGACCGCGGGGACGACACGCCGAGCGGCAGCGATGTACCGGAAGGCGGACAAATCGGAGCCAGGCCGGCGCCTCCGATCCACATGGGCAGCGACTATGCCGACGTCGTGGAGCGCGGGATCCTGAGCGCGGAGAAAGCGGCGGAGCTGTTTGAGCGGTATAACACGCTCATGGCGCCGCACATGCCGGCGGTGGTGTTCCCGCGGGGGGCGACGGCGGAGGAGACGAGGCGGGCGAAACCGCTGCTGTTCCTGGCCATCATGGCGGCGTCGAGCTCCGAGAGCCCTAACGTGCAGCGGAGGCTGGTCAAGGAGCTGATGCAGATCTTTGCCGAGAAGATTATTATTACGGGCGAGAAGAGTTTGGAAATTGTGCAGGCGCTGCAGGTCGCTGTGATATGGTACTGGCCGCCCGAGCACTTTGAGGAGCTCAAGTTTTACCAGCTCGTGCACATTGGCGCCGTGATGGCGCTGGATATCGGGCTGGGACGGCGCACGGCGGGCAGGAAGATGCAGATCCCTTACCAGTGGCGCAACCACCCGTTTAAGAGGGCGCCGCCTCCGGACCCGACGACGAGCGAGTGTCGGCGGGCGTGGCTGGCCGCGTACTTCTTGGCGGCGAATACGTCCATGGCGCTGCACCGGCCGAACCTGGTGCGTTGGACGAGTTTCATGGCCGAGTCGATGGAGGCGCTGCAGACGAGCGCGGACGCGGCGCCATCGGATAAGTATTTCTGTCATCTCGTGTGGACGCATCGGCTTGCGGAGGAGGTGGGGATACAGTTCTCCATGGACGACCCTGCTGTGGTACCGAATATCACGGATTCAAGGACGCAGTATTCGTTGAGGATGCTTGAGAGGGATTTGGAGAAGTACAGTGCTTCCGTTCCCAAGGAGGAGATGCAATGTGAGTTCCTATCTATCCCCCTTTTCAATACTCGCGACGGTTGTATGCAAGGCTGTGGCTGACGACTATCGGGTGAAGCAACCCTCAAAATGTCCTTCCACGTCCTCTCGCTCTACATGCACGAGATCGCTCTCCACACCCAAATGGACGACATCCGCCCGCCCTTTGACACAGCAACCCTCAAGGACGGCATGCTCACCAACCTGACCCTGACAACCTCGCACATCAACGCCCTGTCCGCCTGCCTCTCGGCCATTGACGGCATCTTCGAGGCGTTCTTAGCAATGGAGGTGCCCAGCATCCGCTGCCTACCCGTCTTCAACTTTGTCCGCGTGGCCTACGCTGTTGTAGTGCTCATCAAAATGTATTTCTCCGCCACGGCGCCCGGCTCCGAGCTGGGAAGGGTGATTGATAAGGATAACATGAAGGTGGAGTACTACCTGGACGCGCTGCTGGAGAAGTTCCGCGCTGCCGCGTCGGATGATCGGAGTCGGCCTGCGGCCAAGTTTCTGATTGTGTTAGTTATGTTAAGGAGTTGGTTCTTGAAGCAGAGCAAGGGGCTTGCGATGGGCGTTCCTGTGCCGGAAGCTGCTACTGCTGGGTTCAAGAGTTCGAATTCGCAGCCCGAGACGCCGGCTTCTGCTGCTGCTGCGCAACCGTCTTCTCGGCGGCCGGAGGCGACGTCTGCTTCTACTGCCGCCGATGAGCAGCAGCACCAGGCGCAGCAACGGGTGTATGCGGGGCAACAGCACCCGCCGATGCAGGAGTACCCCGCCGCCAACACGCCTCTTCACCTTCTCTCAGAGATTGCCACGCAAAACGATCGTTCCGGCAGCGGCGGTGGTGGTGGCGCGACGAACAACATCCTCTGGAACCCGCCTCCATCACGCCAATCTTTCCTTTACGACCCCAGCGCCGTCACACCCACCCCGATGGATGGACCCGGTTCCGGGCCGGGGACAGCGGCGTCGAGCGGTACGGCGGCGACGACGGTTGCAGGTCCGGGCGATGGAAGCGGAGCCGGGACGGGAGCGGGGCCTGGGCCGAACTCAGTGGCACCGTGGCTGAATCCCGTCTGGACAAACGACTTACAAGATTTCGGACTCGATCCGGGCTTCACGAATGATTTATCGCTCGAGGAGATCACGACGGGGTTTGGGACGAGTCCCGGGAGCTTGAGCAACGGGATGCGGTATGTCATGGCGCAGGACCCGTGGTTGAGCGGGATGAGCGGGCTCGGGGAGATTTTTGAGGGGATGCCTGGTGGGTCGGGGCCGCCCATGTTCCCCATGTGAATGGACCTGAGATGGTGTCGAATTACGGGAATTCACCTCCAGGCCAAAGGCCGCTCCGATGACCAATTCGTTCACGCGCGTACCTCCGGCGTCGGCGACGGCGTTTGTTGACGTTCGGGGTTTGGGATGACCCTTGCGGACGGGCTTTGTCTATCCGGCTGGGGTAATGGCCATTTTTTAGCCGGTCGTCGGATTTCGCTTGTATGGCTGTCACTGACCACCGACCTCCGGGCTCTACCACCAGACCCCGTCTCATCCTCACCTTAACTCTCCGACAAGAAGGGGAATAGGAATGTTTACTCGTTTACGGAGCACTCCGAAAGCGACGACAGAAACTACGATACCATTGTCGACCGACCCACATCCTTTCTGGCTAAGCTTTCTAGCGACGCTTCCAGACCTGCTCAGACTTGGGAGGGTCATTTGGACATGCTCGAAGCCGGAATATGCCACAACGAAATCTGACCAACGGATATCAACTCGTTTAAATAACACCAACCTTCATCTACATGAAACTGCTGCAATTGAAGGGGGCTCCGCCAGGGGAAAGATGGAAGTTTAACCTTTCTGACATTCCCCAAGGGTCCGTTTTGGTACAAGTCAGGAATTAGAGGAGGAAAATTGGGAGCGGGAGTACACTTTGCTCTGGACAAGAGACGAAGCTGCAGAACCCAGCTTCATCCATCCCCACTTGGATGGTTGGAATTAACATCCTGAGGGGATGGGAATAGGGAGGGAAGGATTGGAGTCGAGGGTCACTCACTACAGCACAAGTGTGTTTTGGGAGCTCGTGAGTGGAATTGAGTTGTGCTCTCGCAACCCATCCAATTCTACATCCCACGAAACTCCAACACCCATCTCAGCAATACCTTGTTTTATTTTTGCATGTGTCATTTATACGAGATACCTATGTACGATGAAAAGATGCTTAGCTTGGACAGGCGAATAAAAGGATAGATTTTCTCTCAATTGTTATTTACACAACATTCCCTCGGCCATTCATTAGCTACCCACTTGTTCGGTCACATGCTACACCAGGCCTTGACTTACAAATGGAAGGGGATGATTGATGACTGTCTGCCCGTCTACCACCCCCGGATAGGACGGGACCTGCGATGACTGCCAACCACTGCTTCACGTGGGGAATGTGATGACAGAAGCCTCCATGGAACTAACCCGTCTCCCCGAGTCCACCTGGTGCCCTACGGTGCCTACGTGCGAATTCGCCGCCCGCTAGTGAGACCTTGCAAGCCTGGTCCCCGGCGAATGGGAACGAGATACCGACCATCCGGAATGGTGGCCCAATTTAATCCCACGCTGTGTCTTTCGGGGATGCCTTGGCTGCTTACCACCCGTGTCTAACAAGTTGCTTGCCGTGACCCGAAAGGCACGTTCACATTAGTTATTACTCACCTCTCGTATCTGGCCATGCTAGGTGAGGTCTCACTGAATGATAACACCAAGATTTTGGGTAGGGACCGCGAAACTTTCAATTCGGGTCCGAGCGCGTTTCTCATGGTAGTTAAGCTCGGCGTTCGTCGCCGGCCGTTCATCCGCCTCTCGCCCGGGCTGTGTGCCCGCAACCTAACCCCTCTTCACAAGTCCGGCCTGTTGTGAACTCTGTACCTATCGCGGTCGCCTGATAAAACGCAAAATCCATGCTTCCACCCACTTTCAGTCTGTTCGGCCGTTGGCACAAGCCCGTCCTCCAACCCAAAGCCTTTCGCCGCGTGACCGCCAGCGATGTAACGATACCGGAGCCTCTCCCCTTCTCCGTACGCCAGACATGAATCCATGTCGAGATCTTAACACCATCAACATTCTCTGATGGGCCGCAAGCAATAGCCAGACATGTTCTTTTTCCGGACCAATTTTGTTTTGGAACCCGAAATCTTGCAATTTGCGATTGTCCTCCCCCATATTCCCCATGCCGTTTGTAAACTCCTAGTCAAATTGCAGTTCCATTCCGCTTCCGTGATCAAATGTGAGACAACGGTCTCATGTGCATGTGGTATGGAGCTTCCCCGCTCAGTGTGCAGCTGCAACCGGGCTGCATCACAACCAATCGAACGCCACGTGGGGTTGAGCCGATAGAAGTGTTCCCCAGGTTAAAAAAAAATAGACAGGGATGAAGGACGCTCAGAATCTGTGAAACGCTTGACGATCTTTTTCTCGTTTTTCGTGTGGCGAAAATCATGTTCTTGTGGTGAGATGCCATCTCTGACGGGGCTTATTACGATGGCAAGATGGTGAACATCAGTCGTAGTAGCCGTTCCTAACGTGGACTCTTCAGTCCATGTAGAAATCGCCCTTGAGGATGCGTTCCTGGAAAGCATCAGGCTTGGGTCGCTCGGGGGCCTTGGGCTTCATAGCAGCCGCCTGGGCAGGGGGAGCAGGCATGTCGGAGACTGATTTCTGACGGTCGTGGGCGGCGCCGTTGCCGGGGCCGCGAGGAGGAGAGGATGAAAGACCAGAGCCAAAAGAAAAGGACGCTCGTGGTCCCTGAACAGAGCTCTCGGCGCGAGATCTAAGCTGCTCGGACCAGTTGAAACCTTGGTCTGGGCGAGAGAACACGTCAGAAGATGATCTTTGCTTGTGTGCAATGCTTGCCTGTACAGTGCTGCTAGATCGACGCCTGGCTGACGACAGAGCAGCAGCGATGGACGAAGTATTGGCCGGTGACGTGGAACTCGCGACCGAACCAACACCTCGTCGAGAGTGCACACTGCTACGTCTGTCGAGGGCGGCAGGAGTGCTAGGCACGGGAGTGGCAGAAGCAGAGGATAATTCATTACCGTTTGAACCCGGACTTCCACCGCCGTTGCGCATGGTGCGCATTGCCTGAGCTCCAAAGCTCATTCTGCGGGTGAAGGGAGTGGTAGGTGCTGTGCGGGCGTTGGGGGGAATCTCCTCCTCGTCGATTGCATTCTCATCGATGGAGTCGTTGGAGTTGGTCGAAAGACTTCCCCGTCGGAGAGAGTTGAAAGCACTAGCACCAGTGGGCGAAGTGCCGGTGAGGCCGAGACCGGTGGTGACGGAGAGTCTCCGTCTCTGAGCGTCGCTGGTGCCAGGGAATGCACCGCCGTTGGAGGTAGAGTTGCTTCTGAAGAGCCCGGCAATAGCCTGCTGGGTGACTGAGCCACGTCTCTGACGATGCATTTCGTTCGGGTTGTTCTGAGTGTTCTGGTTGGTGTTGGAGTTGTCGTTGGACATGATGGGCAAAAGAGATGGTAAAGGAGCGAATTGGGGGCTGCAATATATGTAGTCGGGAATATCGGTATGTCGTGCGTCGAGTTGTTGTATGCGTTTAGGTAGTCAGAGGGTAGTCCAAGTTGTGTTTCGGAGGTGCGTCTTGCGTGGGGTGAGATCTAGAAAGAATCGAAAGAGGGATCGAACGGGAAATCGTTCGACAGGTGCGGATGTGTGGAACAGGGTGGTTATATATCGAGGTGGCCGATGGACTGACTTGGGGTGACACTAGGGGCGGGTTACAAGAGGTTGATCACAAGGGAAGGGCCAGGGATGGGATGAGCGTACCTCTGTAGTGCGCCGTAGCAAGGTGTCGATCAAGGGGTTTGCTGGCCTGGCGAGAGTCAGAAAGAGAGACTTATTCGTCTTTGTGCTTCGTTTGTGCGTTTGTGCTGGGGGATCGACGAGGGAAGCGTCCCCTCAAGCGGCGCTTCCTGTACAAGCAGCAAAGCGGGTTGAAGCTCTAAATTAAGTGACGTCGAAGCTTAGGGGGCAGGTCTTGGATCAGTGGCAGCACCCCAGGTTGGGTCAGGTAGCAGGGGGAGAGGGGCAGGGAGGGCCAGATTGGCAGACACGAGTAAACGGGCTAGAGAGAGTTGAGAGAGGAGGGGGATGGCTGGTTGTTCTCACTGTTCTGTAGTGGTTTGGGTGAAACGGTGTGTGTGCTTGCGTGCGCGTGTGCTAGAGGTGCTTTGGTGCCGGGGGGCGGTCTGCTGGCTGGTTGCTGTTGGGCGGATGGCGTGGATTTGCTTGCTCAGCCAGGACAGGCAAATGATGGTGGGATGGTGGTGCGTGTGGGGAAGAGGCGAATGCGGTGTCGGATGGTCGGTCGGTCGGCGTACGTTTGAGAGGCCGATAATAGCTTTCTTGGGTTCCAAACTGGATCTTAGATAGGGGCCTAGGGTTGGCCAGTTGCCAGGCTGGAATGCTTGACAAGCACACAAGCTGCTATCTCTGTGATGCCGTGATGAATGTGTTTTATGGCTCTGTGTGGGTAGAGGTGGATTTCTGATGGGTTGCTGATGTATTGCACTCGTGTCGTATCCGTAGTTCAGTGGGAGGGTAAGAGACAGGAGACAGGCAGATAAAAGAGGTTTAACGTCAACGCAAGGATCGTGATGTCGATGGAGAAGGGTTGAAGTGTGTGTCTGCCAAGTTGAACGGCACTGAGAAGACTGGAGACCAGAGGAGGCTTGTTTGATGGAGCCATGGAAGGAACGCGGTTTACGGCTTGCTCCTTCTACCTATTGTGGCATCTGCTCCTGCCTGTCTATTTGTTCCTTCTCTTGTCCTCGCTCTCGTTCTTGCCGTTCGTACTCTTCCTTGCCCTTGCAATACCAACAGCATCTGCACCTGCCTGCACCTTTGAGATGCACTGGAAAATGGTGAAATTGTGGAGGGAAGGAGCCACCACGAACCTTCGGAGCCAGAGATGGCCTGGAAGACCCAAAATGCCAAGTTCAGCATGTAAGGTTGGCGCGGAGGCTACGGCAGCTCCCACACCCTCAGGGCCTTCCTCGCCCACGATACCACGACCCCGGCTGCCCACCCAGCGCGAGCTCACAGACACAACATCCAATCACGGAAGGCATGGCCTCAGCGTTGCTTCCAGCAAAGGCACTTTGGCGGCATTGCGCACGGGTACGTACCGGTCTTAGCGCAGTCTCTAGTGCTGGACGTGCTGGACTAGCGCTTGCAGCCACTAGACGGCCGGGTTTTGAACCAGCCAGACCCCCGCTTGTCGACGTCACCCAATCGAATGATTTGCGGGGTAATCAGACCAGCCGCCAGAGGTGGGAAAGAGCGACGGGACGTTTGACTCTCACCTGCACCTGCACTTGCACTTTTGACTTCCATTGCACTTGCGAGTTGCGCCTGTCTCTGACTGTTATGGAAGTCACGCCGGTCGTTCGTACTCTCTTCCCTACCTGTGTACTCTGTTCCGTCCACACAGATGGGAGGAAGGAACTGGGCTGCAGATAGAAGGATTTTAGCAAGGGCCCAACACGGGAAAGAAGGGGTCCTCTTCACGTTCTCCGGGTCTCTGTTTCTCTGTCTCTGTTTGACTGCTCATGTCTCTCCCACTTGTCTCTGTCCTGGTCATCTAATTCGTTAAGTTTGCTGATCTTTTTGGGAGGTAGGTATTGGGCCGTAATTAACCCATCATTTCCTATCCGAATTTCCTGTCTTGCTTTTTTGCCATCTTTGCACATCTTCTATCCTCTCTTCCTCCTGCTTGTCCCCCCCCTTGGCCTCCCCCTCAGTCTTGCATCAGAGCCGACCATCTGCGGTACGTGCCCCACCCCTCCTTCAATGTCCATTCACCATCGGAACCACCACCACCACTACTACCACCACCTCAATCACTGCCTAACACCTGTGACTGCAAAGATTCCCACACAACTCGCATCTGCAGACTGAGAGACACTCATCCACCTTGCCCGCAGTCCACCACGCATACGGTTGCACGCAGCGTAAACCAAGCTCAATGCAGTCTGCCGTCTGGACCATCAAGCACACGCGTGGACAGTAGAAAGACGTCCCATCTCGCGTGCCATCGCATGCCTGCTCTCGCCACTTTGGACCGTCCATTGACCACCATGGGCTCATCCGCAAGCACCATCATCTGCCCATGTTTCTGCCACCTCAAACATCTTGAGCTTCGAAAAACGAACTCTGACTTCAGACCAGATGGGAATGGCCGAGATCTCGCTGCATCTCATCCACATGTACAAGTACCCACCTTTTGTCAGCGGGAGCCATACTCTTTCAGACTGCCAACCATGACCATAGACCTGTTGTTACTTGACATGCTCAAAGTCTATACTCTCCTCCTCTGAACCCAAGACCCTGAAGGCCTAGGCTGCTTTGGAAGCTTTTCGATGCAAAAGTTGCCAAAGACGGCCACATCGAAATCTCCAATTCCCTCCTCTTCCCACCACATTCTCAACTCACACTACGCTCGTGTCTCTTCGGCCAACACGAGTGGCTGTCGTGCCACCATCCGGTCCTCCTTCAGTCACGTTGAGTGTGCTGTACCAGTGTACATAGACTATTGGCAGCCAGGCTACCTTAGCTCGACATGCTGGAATTCGACGCCTCCTTCTTCTATCTTTGACAGCGTCCACTTGGCATGCAGACGGGCCCTAGCAAGTGCTGCCCCGGATAGACAAATCATCCGTCAGCGACATGCACACTGCTCCAATTGCCCTCCGCCGCTTGGACCGGGATGCATTTCAGGCGGCACGCAGGATCTCAGCGACCAGAGATTGGCGAAGCAGCCTGGTCTCTCAGCCGCCAGCGACAGGGACGTGGGCAGTGGGGGTCGGTTGGATGGCGAACAGTATCAAACTCCGTACCTTACGGATACAATGTCTCCTTCAACTCGATGATGCACCGCACCTGGCTACTTGAGTCAATAAAGTGCCCGAAGCAACGACGCAAAGAGGGGAACATGTTTCTTTCGACGCAACTTCACGACTCGCTGCGTCCTCTATCCATGCACGCCTGTATCCCACGTCGAAACTCGGAGAAGAACTCTAGCACTGCACCTGCTATATCGTGGCACACATATTGGAGCGTTTATCTCCTCTTTCTTCTGTTGATGCTCTACCTAGATCCCACCCCTCCCGAATCCGTAATCCCTCCCCAAGCCAACGAAAACACCGCCGACCTCCCCGGACCCTGGTCTGACCAACCCTTCTGTTCACCACTTCCCCAGACTATCCACATCCGCAGCTCCCTTCCTGACTCGTTACTGGGATTCCCATCCGTCTTCGTCTTCGACAACTCTCGACTTGGTCTGCTTCCCCGCAAATTTCGGGTCTCAACACCAGCCGGCCCCATTTCGCACGCGGATTTGGTGCTTGGCCAGATAGATCCCCAGTCTGCCAGATTAGCCCTCCCGCTAGCAACACAACAACAGTGAACCGTTCTCTGGCCACGCAGTTGGCTTATCTTGGCAGCCAGTCCATCCTGTGCCAGCCTGCCCGGATTTTGCAACCGTCCCACATAAGCCATGCGTCGTGTTGTGTCACGAGAAAGCTTAATGCTGAGAGGCTTGCTCCATTGGTGATGGCTACGTTGATCAAGCTCCAACATTCCTTCTGCTAGATAACACAGCAGCGGCCACAAGTTTCGTTGCCAACTCTTTCGCCTGTTCGCTGTGCCAAAGCACCTGGCAAGCTAGCACTGCAGGTCGCTTCCCGGAGGTCCGGCTCCGCGCCGCGGTAGCATGAAGCTCCTGGTGGACCCTGAACTCGCGGCACAGCATCTCAACCAGCCAGCAACATGTGCAACAACGGTCACGCGCCCGCATCTTCTCCAACTCCTGTAAGTTCTGTTACCCCGCCTTGTTTGAATCAAACTCCGAGGTGGTGGGCGAGAGTTCACTCGCAGGCCAATCTCGATGCTTTCTTATCTCTTGCTCAATCCGGGCTTCCCTGTCAGCAAGCATGGGCTAGTGATGAGGAGTGACGAAATGATTGTCTCCGAGGGTGATGTCAAGCGGTTGTATAACCTCGCTAGGCTGTCAAGGAAGATGAGACCACAGAAGTTGCCCAATAGTTGCCGTGTGCGAGGGCATTAGTTCCTTCGAAGGAAGCCGCTGTCTCTGTTGTTATCTGGCAGAGGGCCTAGCTGAAGTACCTAAGCTGAGACTGAGCTATGGCAAGGTTGCAACACATCCAGATGCCAGTCAGTCGAGCCAACTTTGTTTCAATGGCGTTGGAGAGATAGTCTCGCTCTATAGACTCTATGAAGTGCAGCCAACATCAATCTTCAGTGTCTTGTCGGTTTCTTGAGTCTGGACGCCAGTGGTAACGGCAAGGAGTTGGCCCATAACTTGATAGCAGGATATGGTGGCGGCATGATGGCTTCAAGCTCATTTGAAGAAATTTGTGATCAGTGTATTTGAGGAATAAAACTCCAGATAATCATCCATCTGTAAACCAGCCCTCGCCCGCCTTCTCATCCGCCAAGTCTCTCTGCCCATACAATTTTACTAGTCCTCAAGCTGAAGAGAATTCGTTCACAGATCACTCTCTCGGGCCATGATGTCCTTCATTGCTGCCAGTCGATCACCCTTGATTTGAGCAATCTCCTCAGCCTCTGCCTTTTGCAACTGGGTCATGTACTTTGTGAACGCATTCCCGAGGTTGATGACCTTGTTGAAATGACTTGCGTTTGGCGAAACACCTTCATTCTCGGCCAGTGCCAGCGCGCTCCTGACACAGTTGCGGATCTGGCGACCATTCAGGGGCTGCGAAGCCCAAGACTTGGTGACTTCCGTTCCTAACGCCTTGCACTCTTCACGTGATAATAGAGGCGGCGAGCCATCGCGATGTTCGCGGCCAAGATCTTGGATGAAAATCTTCCAGACGCCCCTTCGAAGGGTCTCATCGAATTCTGGCATGCCAATTGTTATGTGGATCCTGGACTGGAAGGCTTGGTCGAAGGCGGCGACGCGGTTGCTGGTGAGGAACATGATGCCGTTGAAGTATTCTAGAGTCCGTAGAAAGACTGCGTTGGTAGTCAGGCATTATTCTCAAGCTAACATTTTTTCAAAAAGCAGATGTATTCATGACTTACTAAAGACCAATGCATTCCTATGTAAATTGTCATAGTCCCGGTCCTGTAGAAAGATGTCTGCTTCGTCTAAGAGCAGTAAAGCGTCCCATGCCACAGCATGATCGAAAATTGTTGACAACTTAGCCTCGAGTGTATCGGGGTTTGTTCCTAGGTCTCCAGCAGTGACCATATAAAGCGGTTTCTTGAATGACTCTGCAACACATTCTTGGTATGTATTGTTAGAACTTAACCTTCAGTTTCTTCTGCATAAGAAGTACATACCTGCGGTCAGGGTTTTGCCAACACCTGGGGGCCCATGGAGCAGGATAACTAAGCCTTCACCCTTTCCCGCAACAAGGTCATGGAATCCCATATTGTGGCCAAGATATGACTTAACCATGGCCCAAATGACCTCTTTGTATTCCGTTTTAAGAACGAGTCGCTTCCATGAATCTGCTGCGAACTGCACAGGCCCGAGATCGACTACGTCATATGAACCTTGCTATCAATTAGTTCCCGTGAAGCAATGATATGGTGCATTCGAACACCTACTCCATCTTTTCTTTCGGAGACTGAACGCTGATATAGTGCGAGGGCACAGCATGAGAGTCAATTCATCTGGCTCACTACTTGCGGGGATGCTGTCGTAGTCGCGAAACCAGTTACCCGACTTTGTTACGTCTCGTCGTGGTACTGGTGCATTTGGCTCTGACATTCGTGGCAGCATTCGTGGCGGCACTTGAAAACCTGAAAGCGAAGGCGACTTCTGCTTCATTGCACTTTCAGCCTTCGCATCCACAATCACTCTGATCCCAGAGAGCCAGTCTTGGCCCTGCTTTGGCAAGGTCGCAAATTGTCGATATCCAGATGTCGTATTCATATCCCAGAAGTTTTGGCCTCGAGAGAGTGTGTGCGCTTTGACGACATCGAGATTCTCCATGAATCTTTCCGGAACGAATTGGAGTTTCGAAATTTCAACTTTGCCTCCGAAATACGGAATTGGCACTTTGACCTGTCTTTTCTTGAAGGTGTCGTCCACAGGATCATATCTTATTGTCCAACAAGACAATTCGAGCCACACTTGGCTCGGCGTCGGAGAGCTGTCAACAGGTGCCACAATCACAACTGGATAGTCTACCATGTAACAAATCGCATCTGGCCCGGCGGTTCTCTCAAAGATGACTTGGCCCGGTTTGTATAACATCCAGATATCGTCATATTGAACTAGAGTACTGGGACCCGCTGATTCCAATGCCCTAAATCTTGATCGGGTTTCAGGGGCATTTTCATCGAGAAACATTAGGATTGCTCTTGCGATTCCTATACTTTGTGCCGAGGTTGTGCCATGGCTCTCGGTGAGAGATGTTGCTGAGGCTATTGATGCCTCTCGTTCAAGCGCTCCTAAGCGCAGAAAAAGTGGGACGAAGGGCTTGGAGAACACCTCTCCTCGGGGTGGGCGGTTCTTGTAATCGGGAAACCGTCCAAGACGTTCCATGAAGTCATTAAACTCCCACCACTCGATCTCAATGCTATGTCTCTGAATATCATTCCCATCGTCCACGTGGTGGATGAAGGTGACACGTGGCACGGGATCATCGTCCACACTTTTCTCCATTTTCGAAGGTATCCCAGCTCGCTTGATTGTTCGGTACCGTCCTCTGCGATCGTGATAAGATTGGACGGTGATATGTCCAACGTCCACGCCAAACTTCAACTTGTGAGAGATGCTTCTCATTGGCCTCACTAGATAGTCCACTCACTTCATTGATAATTCGCGGAACAGTAGGACGATCGCCAGAGGCCTTGTCACTGTCCGGACCCCGTCCATAGTCGCCTGCTGGGTGGCGAAGTCGGATAGCTGGGCAGAAATGGAAGTGTCAGCTGTGCTGGTTCAAAGATGATGGCGGCTACCTACAACGAGAAAGGTTTGGGGTCGATTCGCTTGAGTAGTACTCAGAAGAGTTTTCGGATTCTGTATCCGATGCAAGGTTGTGTATCTCACTCATCATGGCGCTGAAGCTTGACGCTCGTAAAACGAAATCGAATGACGCCCTGAGGTATGCTGATAACAGGCAGTGAACCTCACGGTTCGGCTTTTATATCGCAGATACCCTCAAAGAAACTTATGTGCGGGATTCACATAATCTAGATGGCTGGAGAGATTGCGGCCTTGCCAACACATATCCGTGTGTGAGGTCTCGGAACGCCTCCCAATTGCCGACTTACGAGACAAAGACATAGAGTCGGCTATTTGGTCTGTTGGTAACTTCCCATTTGGCGCTCATCTTCCCGCACCATTGTAGACATGTTCAATCGCTTTCTGAGTGCCAGGTAGCCTGCATCTTCCATCGTATGATTCTTGCCTACTCGAAGACACTCTCTCAGGCACGTTCTCCCTCATGCATCTTGTCGTGCGCCTCAAAGGCTTACCAGTCCAGTGAAATGATTTGAAAATGTCATAGGTTGCGGTTATCACCAGCTCCTTCCCAAGAAAGCTTCACTGGCGTGGATCACGCTTCCTCCTTGTCGTCCTCAGTGTTCTCATTGGCCAGTTTAATGCGTGAATGTTACGCACGCGGCAAATATATGCTGCGCCAATACGTCGCACAGCATTTTGCAGATTCAGGCAGTCATCCTCTTGCAGATTTGGACTGACAATACGTTGACACGTCAGCGGTCTGGAGCTGGGCATTTCTGCAAGGCGTGAGGCAGCAACTTGTGTGGCTCATCACGGCTTGTCGACAGAACGGTTGGTTTATTCAGATGTCACTGCCTTGCTGTTCGAAGACTTCAGGTAAATCTGCTCATGATTTCACCAATCTTTGACTTATCTTTATTAGAATAAGATACACTCCACGGTGATCTTAGTGGTGAGGTACTGCAAAACCTTGTAGCTGCAGGAAACACCAACCACGCCATGGACTACTCGATGTCAAATGATGGCGAGCCCCCCGATCGGGGTATTTCGCTAAGGCGGATCATCAGCCTAGGTCAACCATCTCCGAGGAGACTTCCAAAGCCGCAACTCCGCGACGCAAGATTGAGTAGTCTCCTTGAAAAAACCAAGCCTCAAAATCGTGAGTCCATGAGTGAAGTGGAATTGATTGAGTCTTTGAAGACGGCTCAACACGTTAGGGATTTAGGACTAGAGTCGTTGTCATTGCCGGCAACTGGTGACCCACTCAGAAATGTCAACGCGAACCGACCTGCCTGGGCGCTCAACTTGGCAAAGAACCCAGCACTGCGCAATGAGTTCGAGCAGTTGGAGGTAGCTGTCAACGAGTACAATACCGCAGCCTCCCAACACAAAGGCGAAATTGTGATCAAGCAGGGCTGCGAATTGAAGGATGTGCTCACCCAGGCAAAAGCCTTGCAGGAGACTGGTTCTCCGAACGAAGGAGACAGGAGTCCAAACAGTAGCATCCAAGCCGGTTTGCAGCAGTTTTGCAAATCGAGTCTTCACTATGCCACAATCATGGATACACTAGCACAGCGCCACCCCGAATGGGTCAGTCTAGCTTGGGTAACCATCAAGCTGCTGTTAATGGTCCCAATCGAGTATCAAAGGGTTAAAGAAGGCATTGTTACCAACCTTGGACGAATAGGGGCCAAGCTTGAGCTTGTGAGCCTTCTTTTGTCTTTCTATCCTTTTGAAAGGATGGCAGATGCGGCATCGGCTATCTACACTTCCATTGCGGAGTTTCTTGGATTTTGTCTGAGGTATCTGCGGAGAAACTGTTTAGGTGTGAAAAATTCATCATTTAGAACACGGTACTCCTCAACATGCTGACTATTGGAATTCTCTTGCCCACTACTAGTAAACACATTGAAGACAATCATCACGCCTTTCGAAACTAGGCTTGGTCCAATTCTCAAGA